AGATTGGTTCGGATTTGAATCGCGTGCTGAAAAAATAAATAAAAAAAAAGGGTAGTTCGTCCCTCGCGCGACGCAAGGTCAACGTGCACTTTGACCATAAAAATTGGGTCGCGTTCGGGCATGCGACGGGGTTGCGATGGGGGGTTCGCTACGGGTCGCGAATAGTTTTTGTGACGTAGTAGTAGTAGTATTGCTACAACTGTCACTACTGTCCTCACTACTACTGTTAATACTGGTACTGAGGTGAAACTCATCATAGTAGTACTACCAGCTAGTAGTAGCTAGTACTACTACTAGTACTAGTACTAGTATGGAAAATTATGTTCATTCTTCAATAGTAAAATAGTACCACAAATATCAATTTAATATCCAATAAAATGGTATATTCAGAATCATCATTGAAAACTGGACCAGACTGGCTACTCAAAAATTAAAATAGTGGTAGTTTTGATAAAACTGTAACTGCTAAATTAAAGGTTGGATACTAGTTTTACTAGTATTATTCAGTAAAAATGAGAATTAAAAAATCCTGGGGTGACTTTTTGGAAATTTGGACCACACAGGGGCTATGATTTTCTTTTTTCCCCTTTCATGATGAGGAGTTTTCGATGTGTTGCACAACCCTTGTTAATCATGGAAGTCCAAAGAACATTTTGAACTGTAAGAAACATTGTGAAACAAGAAAGTTACAGGAATGAGATGCCAGCAGCTTAAATGCTGGTGGTGGATGGGACCAAATTGAAAATACAGTGGTGTTGACTGTGAAATGTTACTAGGCTCTCTAGTGCATGTTATTGGGTGTTTACAGTAAAGAGTGAGATAACCTGCGAAATGTTACTAGGCTCTCTAGTGCATGTTATTGGGTGTTTACAGTAAAGAGTGAGTGTATTGCAGCTGGTGTTGCTGTCTGTTATCATTCACGTGGTATTCGTGATTGTGTTACGTTTATGTGATTTGGGTTGGGGTTATTCTCCTCACATTGACACCTTCGTCTTCCACTGGCACTGGCACCGAAGCAGAGCAATTTATGACCCCTGCCGTACCGTATGGTACTTGTACCAAACAAAAAAGGCGGGAGGTCACAATTCATTCCGTTCTCGAGTCAGCTCGTTAGTGAAACACAGTACGGTACGTACGGTGCGATACGACCGGCTTCCCTGTGCAGATTCCCTGTGCAGATTACACAATTCCAACGATTGCGGTGATCGAAAACATTACTACATAAATAAGAAAACCAGCCTTGTAGGATACGATCCCGTATCATCCAATCAAACATGCTGCGAATATTTGTGTACTCGATTTTCTTGATCGGCCTGGGCGCCATCGGTGGGTTCAGTATCTTTCATTATAACCTTCACCGGAGCATCGAGCGAGCGGAGCGGAGCCACAACGAGACACTGGCCATCGTCGAGGGGAAATTCGTCGAGTCCGAGGCCGAGCGGGCTCGTTGCGTATCGCAGGACAATGGAAGGTTGGAGGAAATGTCCGAACTGCGCGGGCGATTGGACGCCCAGTACAAAAACTGGTATGATCTCACGGCTGCGCAGAGAACCTTGGTCTCCAAGCACCGAGAAAGCGCCCAGGAAGCACAGAAGTTGCGAGAGCGGAGCGAACGGGACCAAGCGGCACTGAAGGAGCTGGCGGGGAAAATGGGGCAGAGAGACCGGGACTTTGATTTCTTACGGGAAGACGCGGAGAAAAAGCAGCAACAGTTGAAAGACTTCGAAACCCAATTGAGCAAAAGAGCTGGTGAGCTGGTCGATGTTCGACGAGCACTGGAGATCAATGAGCGAAAGGGAAGGGAACTGGAATCCGAAGTAGCAAAAATGAAAAGCTTGATGGAGCAAAATACGCAACTCGAACGGGAAACCATAGAATTGCGCAAATTGATCCAAAGAACGAACCACGAGCTCGTGGGTGTTAAGAATGATTCGGAACGTCTCGACAGCGAAAAGGCGATCCTTCAAGAAGAGTTAGCTAACCTGAACGAAGTAGTTGGCGGTATGCAATCGCAAATCGAAGAAAAGGATAAGGAACTGTTGGAGTACCGCCGAGAGGAAGGAAATCTCGAAGCAAAATTAGTGAATTTACGGGAAGGAATGATAGGCTTGTTAAAAGAAAAAATCCACGAAGCACAGGACCTCGAGAGTCACATTGATCAGCTCAACAAAGAAAAGGCAGCCCTTGAAGTCAAGCTCGACAACTGGAGGGATGGTATGCTAGCCTTAGTCAGAGACAAAATGGAAGAAATCCAACGTTTGAAGACAGAACTCACGGAATCCCAAGAAAGCACAATGCGCATAATGGACGAGGTCGAAAGTGCCCGTTCGGATCAGGACAGATTCGCAGTACTTGTAAACGAAAAACAGGGTACACTTGACGAATCAAATCCAGACGAAGATGCAGAGACGATTATTGAACTCAAAAATATAATCGAAAAAATGAACCAAGAACTGCAAGAATCAAAGGACTGGGTCAATCGGGCGATGCAAGAGATTGTATCGCGAAAAGCAGCATGGGCTGAGTCGGAACAACTCATTGCCGACAAGACCAACGAAATCGAAGAGCTGCAGTCGAGGATGGAAACCGACCAATCATCCGCTAGAGAAATGATATCTAAGCTCGAATCAGACCTTGAAGAAGCTCGGAAACAAGTGGACGAAAAGAACGCCCAGATTGAGGATCTCAACTCGGAAGTGACGGAACTTGTTGCCGAATTCAATGATTTGAAATCGGGTTTTGTGGGTGATTCTGATGCTGCAAAATCAACGAGTGAAACTATCATCGATCATATTCAGCAACGCGATAGTGTGATGTGTCGACAATTGTACGTGAAATATTGCCGAACCAATCATTCACCAGAATGAATGAAACCACCCGTATTGAGTGAACCAACACTTTGCCGAAACGATACATTCGCTGACACATTTAGTTCTTCGATTTTCTCTTCCGTTTCTTAAGGTTTGGAAAGGGACCGTACTACGTAAAATTTGTTGTGCGACTTCCTGTCATTGATGAATCCGATGAAGAAGAAAGCACTATATTTTTCGTTGTTGAACTCTCTTCTCGAAAGCAACTTCCGCATTCTACGTACACGTTCCTCGCTCTCGTCGAGTCTAATCTATACAACGATGGCGCCGCATTCTTGTTTGCTCAAGACGGCGGCCTGAAAATCGGAAGCTCCCTCTCTCCCGATGTGCCAAGCCTCCAACAAAAGCTGAGACCCCTCGGTTTGACTGGTGGAGCAAGCCTAAGCTTTCCAGAGACGTCCACCTCTGGAAATCCTCTGCGGTGTGGCAACAATTCCTTTGGCTTCGACTTGAGAGGACCAAATCTGAACCTTTTCTTATCAGAGGAGGACAACGATAGAAGTGAAACCAGCGATTGCTTTGCGCGCGTGATTCGTGGAGAGGACCACCTCCCCCGCATAAGATCTTTGGTACTCAATCGAGGAGTACCACTTGAAATTGTATCCGCAGAGCATCTCCGAGTCGATTAGGATTTCGGTTGCTGTTGATACCTTTACTACTTCTACATAGCCACTCATATGTTTAGGGATGGAAGAAGAACCATCAAACCAGTATGTTTCGTAGAATTTTACAATATATTTGGTGACATGTTTGGAATTCCTCCCTATTTTGTTTCGTCTTTTCATTCGAGCGCTCTTTGGAAAAGTTGAGGGGGAGCACCCTCTTTTTTCAAAGATGCGCATTGCAAAATATTGCGCCTGTGTCCTTGGATTTCTCTTTTTCAAAAATAAATGGAATCTCTCTAATTCATAATATTACAGTAGTTCTTAAAAACAGCTTGCCCAAGAAAACCATGCAAGAGGGGGTTGATCTGTGAAATTGTAGATTCCAGATTTGCATCGAAATGACATGGGTCTCTTCGTGTCATGTCGTTTCACCCACAATATCATCGGTGACTTCAAACCATGTATTATGCATTGTCCGACTGCTGTGAAGCGTTAGAGCCAGAGCGGTTCCTCGGACGTTTCTTGATTGGAGACCGCGTCGACGATTGATCCGATTGCGAGTCGGTGCAGACTTCGCTGGGGGCGATGGCAGCAGAATTGGATCTGTTGCCAGGCACCAAATCGTCAATTTTTCCAGTTAAGAATTCATATAGCTGTGCCTGGTGAGGGGTATGCTTAGAACCATCCCTGTGTTCAGTGGATGTGGGTCTTTCTTTGGTTTGCCCATCCGTGTTACTTCTGTATGTCTGTTGAGCTTGATGAGGACCCCCTTCTACCGTAATCAAATTACCCAGAGGAGACTGGGGCCTGCTTTCGAGTTCAATACCATCAACTGTTGTTTCCATTCCATCCTCTGATGGCATCGAGCTATTCACAGAACGTGCAATGCTACTGTAGGTAGAACGGGCCACACTATTATTATCACCACCAGAAGCTCCACGAATTTCTCTTGGTACCTGCGGAATACCGCTTGGCCCGGCTTTGGTAGTTGTCGTTGCGATTTGATTGCTATCCGTATCCGTATTGTTGATGTTTTGAGTCATGTAACTATTGCTGTTTTGATTATAGACAGCAGTGCGTCGGAACATGGGATTTGGTATCTCGAATGGACTTGGTTTGGTAACAACGTAGTCACTAATAAGATCATGGGGCAAATCTTTTTGCAGAACATGATGAATCATAAAGTCCATGTCAGGTTTCCTGCCATCCCAAGAATTGATTTGGTTGATCAAAAATTCCGAGGTATGATGTTTCAGATCGATTATTTCAACATTGGGAGCAAATCTCAAACCAATGAAAAATAGGGCCTCCTGCAAACCGCTGCTGCTGCTGCTTTTGGAAGGATCTGCGTTTGGAAGTGCATTTCCTGTATCTGATGGTTCCTCGGGAGTGTATTCTCGTTTCATTACTTGCGCAAAGGGCCATACGGACATTTCTGGGCAATCGAGGGCGCCAACCAAAAGCCGCAATCGCGATTCGCAAAGGCGCAACCACTTCGTGAAATCCTCGGTGTTCTTTCCTGCCCGAATAGAAATCTGTAAAAAGTTACCGTGACGTTCAAAAAAGTCGCTCGGACTATATAATGCTCTCCAATTCGTTTCGTCTTGGGAAAGGTATGCAGCTCTGACCAATTCCTCTTGAATGCGGCGTTGCTGTGGAATCCCAACATTGTACGTTGAATTCACTGAAAAGGGGTAAAGAATCCCACAGGGAAGAAGGAGAATGAGAAGAGAGGAATGGAGCGGTGACAGAAACGGAGTTAAAGAAGCAGTAGAAACAAAACAGTATCTATGGTTTGTGTGATGCATTCACGATACTAGAAAAAACGAAACACACTTACTTCTAGGGTATACTGGGGTAATAACAGGCATCACGTGTCGAGCATCTCGGGGATTTGTCTTTGGATCCCATGGTTTCATGCCTCCCCCAGCCACCGACAACGGGGTATGCGATCCTGTTTCTGCGCAACCCGGTCCACTCGTCGAGACATTTAGGACATCTTCCAACAGGACCGGCTTGGGCCAATTCCAAGTGGCGAAGATGCGGAAGAAGGTGGTCAGAAGGGTCGACGGTTGTTGTTTCGGGTATCGCTTGCAGACGAAGGCAACCATAATAGCCCAGTTGACGCCACCTAAAAAGCCCAAAATGTTCGAATAGATTCCGTGAAGTGATGCCCATTCCTTGACGGCACACAACACCAATCGGAAATGATTTTGATTTGGGACGTATCGCATTATAAACTGCGTGACGCGAACCCCATTGGCGCTTCGGACCTCTGAACCGTCTTCCATTCCTAACAAAAAGGACTCTTCGATGAAAAACTCTGGCAACGAGTTTGCAGCAGTATTCCCCTCGCTATTCTCGGTGCTGTTGCTACCAAAGACCCCCCGTCCTCTTTTCATTGAAGGACCCATCGGTACAAATGGAGAAATCGAGATTAGCTGGTACCGCTTCAGTCTCTCTACATTTTCCTTTCCCGAGGCCCTGCCAAAAAGCATGTCGAAGTGAATATTGTGGATCGTAAACTTCAGAACTGGAGTGTAAGCAGATGCAATAGGATGAACGTCATCGATGGCATCTTCGTTTTCCATCATCTCCACAAGGCTCGAAAAGAATTCTTCGCGCGTACACGAGGGATGACATAAAGCTAGGAGATCAATATCGCTATCTTGTCGATAGGCCCGCAGTCGATAGCTACCAAAGGTGACAAGAGTGACTGCACAATCATTATATTGAAATAATGTAGAAAGAAGACATGAAAAAGGGAATCGTTGAGAACAGAAACGACTATGGTGTGGAAAGGCAATACGGAGTGGTTGTTTTGGTACTCAATTCTCAATGCATCGATGAAGTTGATTCGCGTGCTGCAGACGCAATAAAGATGCGCCATATCCCATTGCACAGTACCTACCTCGAGGTTGTTGCCAAGCACTAGCGTTTTGTTCTATTGAAGCAGCCCATCGACACATCGTTCTTTCCAACAACTTCAATGCCTGTGTCCGAACTGATTCGCTTTCTCGCGAAAGAATAGCAGTAGTCGCAGCGGCGCTGCTCGTATAGGATGCTCTACCTTTTTGGTTCTCGCCATTGGTGCTTGTTGGATCGTTCTCGACCCGTTCGTTGTTGCTAGAGCTCCTGCTCCCGTTCTTGTCTTCACCCAGTGACCATCCACGTTCTCGGAGGTACGAACTGAGAACCATAGAAGTCATTTTTCTGGATGTGTATTGACTCCTTCCCCTGCGACCGTTTTCTTTGTTGTTGCTGTTGTCGTTAAAGTATTTCTTGCTTTTCTTCGCATTGATGCTTGTGTTTTTCATTTGCTGGAATCTTTTGTCTCTATCAATTTTGTGGTTGTTAGTACTCCTGCTGTTATGGTAATTGCTCGCCTTGTTGTGGAATCGAGGAGGTTGCCGGTTGTGAGGACGATACGAATTGATGGGTCCAAAAGATCCTTCACCACTACTATTCGTGCCCACAGAGCAATCGCTTGGATGATCGTTGCGACTATGAATGTAGTTGGTGTTCCGACCATGTCTTCTAGTGTACGTATTATTGGTGGTGTTGCTTTTGCTGCCGCTGCTGCTACTATTGAACTGTTGCTGCTGATGGTGGTTGTGATGACGACGACGACTATGAAAATTAGGATAGTGACTACGAAGGTGGCGTCTGGGTTCCGAATCGTGCTTGGGACACAAGTGACCCTCGGTTTTGTGGTTTGCTTGTGAGTGATCATCCATCCTGTCTCGACTTCTTGCCGTTTGATTGTATTCAAAAGAATTAAATGATGACAAACAAAACTAACTTGAAATTGAATCCTTCTAGCGATGCCTATCGTATCGCCTTTCCCTTCGATCGGAGATTTGCGAGAATATTCGACTGAATGGCTCAATTCAATTCGATTCGATTCGATTCGATTCGATTCGATCTGATGCTGCTGTTGATCTTGATTCTTTCAGCCTTTTCAAAAGATTACAGCAGGCTGTCTGGATGTGATCGATATCGGCAAAGTGATGCGAAGTGAATCAAATCTCAATGGCCATGAGTTCTTTTATGATGTTGAAGAGCGGTAAAAACTGGTCCACTCCCGAAGCTGCAAGAACCGAAAGGGCTCGCTTGGGTCGCTTCTCCAGGTTCGGATCGTGCCGTAATGTACTGGAAGAGTATTCGGCAACGGATGCAAATGTTTCTGTTCCCCAAGAAAACATGACTGCACGAGGAAGTGCTAAGATTCTCGGTTGGAGAGAGAACTGCTGTTTTGTAGCATAGCCTCACGACTCGTACTCGTGCCTGCGTGAAATACTACGTACGTTTGCTTCTTGAACGAAAGGCTCAGTTAGGTAATGTGAAATCCTTAACAGTATCGGTTGCAGGCAACTGTTGCGCGCTGGTGAGGTGGAGAAGGCCGTGTCCCAGAACAAAAAGTTGGTTTAAACGTACTCGTACTACTCTTACCGTACCGTACTGGTCGGAACGAAGTCTATCATTTTCCCGGCATAACAAGGTTTTCCACGACCATCTAAAAGTCGAGGCAATAATATAATTATTTTTTGTAACGTATTTCTCGATTTATTCGTGCTCTGTAAAAGAGCACATCAATCATCTTCAAGCCAATGTTTGTTTTCAGACCTAAACCTCGAAGGCCACTAGACGTTGTTCGTTCGTTGAAGATCTTGCTTTGTAAGCAAATGCTTTGGTTGTCCACCAGGTTTAATTGGACCGCGGGCTTCTATTCTAGTATTGAAGACGTCAGTGACTATTTCGGTTGAAGCTCCAACAAGGCAAGCTATGAATCTCGTATCTTTGTGGTGTGAATCCCATTGCCTTCGTTCGGCAGGCCATCAAAGAACATCTTGTGCTACTAATTCTGTGTCTTTCTTGGTGGTTAGTACGACCCTGAGGTTGAAGCAATCACCAGGATTGCAAATGACAAGAAAGCTGGTGGAGTTCTACTGGGCCCTTTTCTACAGTTCAAGGCGCAGTATGTTGGCAATTACTGTGAGTTACTATCTAGTGACACCAGTTAAATAGTCCAAGATTGAGTGGAAGCAAGTGCTTTAAATGAAGCAATTCCCATGGTCAGTTGCTTTGAACTGAAGAGTTTTTTTACAATGAATAAAGAACAGTTTACTGGATCAGCACACTAATATAATGGAGAGAGTTCTAGTAGGTGGACCACGTAAATTTAAAACCAAAACAAAAATCTACCACTGGATTTGCAATCATGTTAGCAAAGGCTGCCATTGGATACAAATTGAAAACCCAAACACAAACTGCGCAAAGCTAAACTGAAGCAGAATTCTATGCTGCTGTCTCTGCTGCAAAATCGTTCTATGGATCAGGTCTATTCTTGCTGACCTAGGATTTCCTTAGACCACAGTAGGATTTTGAAGGCATAGTCAAAACCAATCATTTTGACCAAAATCTGAAGGTAAAACCCTTGATCTGCATATTTTCTACCAAATTTCTACACAGCATCTGTACTACAGACCTCCCAAAAGACCAATCTTTTGGTCCTTGCTGAGCAGCTGGATCAGCCTCTGCTGTTGTTTTTGGTACTCCTAGTACTAAGCCCAAGTAGGATTTTTTACATGTGATACAAGGGCTGGAGTTTGCTTAAGGAACATCAGCTGCTGGCTTGCTTGCTCTATGATGTTCCTACAACAACAATCTATCATGTATAGTACTGTATAAAATATGAGATAGACCAGCAGCATTGCCATGTCTTAATATATATGACTGTCCTGCAGGCCCACAAGACAATGCAGCTACAAGTACTAGTACTCAGTAAGATTAGTACTACTGCTGCTGAGCTCTTTTTCAACCTTTCACATAGTACTAGTAGTAGCCCCTGTCAATTTAACACACTTTAGGGTTTTTGCTCAGTATGCCACCACCATGGCTGCACAACTGGAGGGTGAGCAACAACCAAGACCAAATACCAGTAACAAGAAGCAATGGCGCTTTGTAGGAATCAATTGTATGCAGCACACAGTTCTTTCAGCAGAAACACAGAGGAGCAGCTGAGTTTTGTTGCTCCTGGAAATTGCAACAGCAAAATAAAATGTAGACATAAAGTATTGTAGTAGCAAAATATTCATATTTTCTTTTATCACTCATACAGCAATGGCTTGGCACCAACCAAAAAGCGGATCTAAAAGAGCACATCAAGAGAAGGAACCTCTTTTATTTTGCAACCAACAACCTCTGGTGAAGCGGATTGCCTACTACAACTTCTGGAAATTCTTGAATACAGCAGGAAGTGAAGGTCGGAGTCTGGTCAACACACATGTTTTTGTGTTCAATTGGAGGACTTCCAACAACATCCAAGAGAACATTCAAAAAAACAGCTGGCCAAAGATTGCCCAGGTAAGAACTCCTCAGTCTACTTTGGACTATCAATTATGATTCTATTGTTGCTGTCATTCTTATTCTTGATCCTTTTGCTGTATTTTGAATCATCTGGTACTGAAGAGAATGTTCTTGTTGGGTCAGGATCTAAGAAACAGAGGAATAGTAGAACTAGAATATCCATTTAAGGCACACCAAAATAGAAGAGTTGAAGTACAAGTAGAAGAAACAGTAGTGGAAGCTGTTGCACTAGTAGTAGAAGAAGACCAAGAAGTTGATACCTCTTACAAATCCAAAACCATCTCCTCAAGAAGCTGAATCAGGATGAGAGGAAGAATTCTCGACCCCTAGTACTAGGGCTCCATCTGCAGCAAAGAAGAAGACTAGTAGCAGGGTTGTACCTTCCCCTTTGGAAGGACTTCTTTCAAGTATGAGAACATTGAATGTCTCCAGCAAAGCGCGGCTCTCTGGCGCATGTCCAAAAACACCAATGGCAAGACCAATGCTTCCCACCTGTTGGGAACAATTGGATTAGAAGATCAAGGATTCCATAGGCTTTGTCAAGATTGTCATGAGTCTTGATCCAACTATGACTAACACTGATCTTCTTGGTCTTGGGTGGGTTGATGAAAGACACTTCAGCATTAGAATCAAGTGGCCCTCCTACATGAATGACTATTTCACTTTGTGCCCTATGGACCTAAATCAGAATGATAGGTAGATCTTTCATTGAGACCATAGCTCCTTTGTTGAAATGGGTAAGAATGCAAAGCGGCTCAAGGACAAATTCAAAGATAGGATTATCTGGGAGGAAAGCATTCTTTATTTTCCAGAGAATGACATGGACATCAACAAATTATCTGCAAAGATTCTACATGGAGTTATCAGCAGTGAGATCCCCATAAAACTGCTTTGTATTGTCTTCACTGAAGCACACAAGAAATAACCCTCTAACAAGACTATTGAAATAGAGGAATCTACTACAACTGTTCCTCTTGGTGGTAGCTGTAAGTTGAAAGAGGAGGATGACGAGACCTCAATGGATACAGACAATGACACTCCATCTCCACACAAAACAAACAAAACATGTCCTTGTGAAGAGTATGAGTCATTTGTTACTCCTCCTGGTAAGAAAGCAAAACAAACTAACGATGTGCCTCCTCATCCTTCTGATTCTGAAACTGACTTGTCTGATGATGATTTGTAAAGGATCTCATGCCTTGAACAAGCAATACTGTTCTTCCATTGATTCCAATGATGCAACCATTGCCTCATCAGGAACTGATCCTCTGAAGAGCTTCACTGAAGTAAAGTTGTGCCTTGATGGCCTTGAGAGATAGTACTTGTACAACAAGGAAGGGCAATAAGGGCGGGGAACGGAGGGATCTGGTCCTCACTTTGCCACCAGCCCCTCCTCCATCTCAGATGATGGAGGAGCCACCAGCAGATGATTTTGCAATTTATTTGCGGCCTTGTTGTCATTCTGATATGGATGTGCTACTACTAGTAGTGCTATTCCTTGTCATGCTGTGTGTATAAGAACAATTTGCTCACTAATAACCATCCTGGCATTTGCCACCAATGTGGCAAGATTTGTGTTCCCTCTGAATGCACTACTAGTACTATCCAGCCACTGTAGTAAAAACTGGTCCTACTAGTACTGATGTACAACAACACCAACAACAACAACAAGGTCAGGAGAAGGCACCATTCTGCTACTGACTTTTTGGTATCTCTGGCTAAAAGGGACCCAACCATGACTACTACCACTCTGTTGTGTTATGATAAACAAAAATCTCCTGATCGTACTACTGCAACAACAACACTAATTACTATTACTTCTACTATCATTAGTATCAACAATGCTACTACTACTGGTGGTGGTGGTAGTGGTAGTGGTAGTGGTAGTGGTAGTACTACCAACAGTACTACTAGTAGCTAGTAGGTACTAATAAAGTCACTGCAAGTTCCCAACCACCAGTTCAGACTCCGAAAAATGCCTTCCATGTTATTACTATGAGTTTAATCAGAGTAAAATTACAGCCAAAATTAACACACAATTTTTGGCCAACCACTAGTGCAACGTTCACAGACTAGTTCTAAGCTGCTAGAGCATCCTATGGCTTCCCAATAACACCAATCTCTACTAAGTAATCATGTCATCTTGTACTGGGTGCTTTGTCCAGTGGTCTAGAAATGTTAACCAGCAGCCAGTCTCAGAAAGTAGCAAAATATGGCTGTACTGGCTCTTAATGGTGAACTGGCTCCCCACTGGCCTCTAATTGTGTAACAATGACACAGGGCACTCTACTTAACACTATGACCAAGCATACTATACCCAAAGATCAGCTGCTCTTGGGCAACAATACCAGAGTAGTTTTAATTGTTCTAGTAGTATTATGCTGTTTCTACTATTTGTCAAAAGAAGTAACTGTGTGTAGATCTAGTATCACATCATACTAGTAGTAGTAGGATCTTGTGCTCAAAAGAAAAAAATGGGCTTCAAAATTAACCATGATTCTACTACTAGTAACAATGTTTGGTGTTTGAGTAGAATGCCTTTTTGCCCTGTAGGGCGCGTCAGGGTTTTTACACTAAACACATTTTACTTCAGGACCAACACTACTTGAGGACAAAAGTGCAAATTTGTATTTAAGAACAAAATTAGTACCTTACCTGTTAAATGCACCATGGAATAACTGCACAATCTATAGAACAAATTTAATTGTGGTGCATACTAAAAGCAAGTAACAAACATCAGATTGAGACCTAGTTTTTGGTACAATTTATCTTAAAATCCCAATGAACATATTAGGTTCAGAGGGTAGTTGGTTCATACAATTTTATACTGCAACTACTGGTATAAGTAGGAGGTCATAGGAGTACTAATAGTAGTGCTGGTACTACTACTAATAATAATACTAGTAGTGCTAGTAGCAAGAATATCACTAGAACTACTAGTACTACTAGTATCATATACTACTGCTTTACTTCTGTTGACATTAAGGATGATTCTGGTTAAGAAGCGATGTAAAAATATGTATGATTAGTAGTACTAGAAATAGTGATACTATTGTTCCTCAGTGGTAATTATTGATATTTATATTTCAACTTCCGTTCACCTGTTGGATTTTGAGTGATATTGTCTAGTCTCCTTTGCGGGGATACAGGCTTCTTCAAAAAAAGAATCTGCTTTCTTGTGCTGCTGTGGTGTCTTCATTCTTTCACCAAACTCCTTTTCAGAGGACATCATGCCTGCCCCGATAGTAAGAGTCCCTCTAGTAGAATCTTCAAATAGGTAGCTTCCCTTCCATTTCATCTTTTCTGGAACAACTTTTTGGAAAGCATTAACGTCACTGGATAGGTAGCTGCCATGACAACCCCCCCGGCTGAGCTCTAGCAGGTTTTGAGCACCACCAGCAGAAGCATGATGGCCAGAGAGGACCACCAACAAGACAGGTATCCCTCTCAATCCCAGTATAACCAACACACTCATGCAACTCATTTGTGTGTTAAGATGAATCCTGACAAAACTAGGTCTTTATCTGATATTAGGTTGGAGAGATAGACAATTAAAAGTACGGTATTTTGGTAGTTTTACTAATACTAGTACACTACTACTTTATGTACTGTGTATGTACAGCCATTTTCTAGGTTGAAATGAAAATAAAAATTAATGAAAAATGAAGAAAAATGTTGCGTTTCGTCCTCGCCTAGAACAACTCGAAGTATCAGTATTTTTTAAATCGTTTTGACCGTCAAAATATTGAAACAGGAGGCCTTTCGATGTTCAATGACACTTGGTCAAGGACGTCGACACCATTTTTTTATCCCTTTGGAAGAAACATAATCCAACCAGAGTAAAGATTTTCCTCAACGATCACGATGACGACTTTACGCGAGGCAACGATGGATGACTTACTCAAATTCAACAACGTCAACCTAGACGTGCTTACCGAGACGTATAATATGCAATTTTATTACCACTATATGAGTCGATGGCCAGAGGCATTTATGGTGGCAGAAGGTCCCAACAACGGGGACATTATGGGATATGTTTTGGGAAAAGCAGAAGGAGAGGAGAAACTGTGGCACGGGCATGTATCTGCCGTGACCGTTGCCCCATCCTATCGACGTCTGGGTCTAGCAAAAACGTTAATGGACGACTTCGAACGCTTGTGCATACATACTTACAATGCGTATTTCGTTGACTTGTTTGTCAGAGAAGCAAATAATGTAGCTCAAGAAATGTATGAAAAATTTGGCTACTCAACATGTAAGTTCAATTCAGTAGCGCATATTCGTGAGCTTTCATGCAAACCAGTTTTTCTAAATCTTTTACCAATGTTCGGGCTTTCATTTTTTCACACCGACCCACTCTCCTGTTTCCATGGTTGGAATCTGCTTGGTTGGTTTATTGGTTCGGTATTGATAGATCGGAGAGTTCTTGGATATTATAGTGGGGACTCGCCTGAAGACGCGTTTGACATGTAAGTACAAGGTACTTTTTCTGGGTTTTGCCTTTGATTCCAATTCTTTTCAGAATGACGAAATCATCATCTCATATCGGCAATCTGGTCTTCTTTTATGATTTTGCAAATCTATATTACTTGTTCGTGGCCTAGGCGGAAAGCTCTACCGAGAGACAAAAACAAAGAAAGTGCCATTCCTCTTGGTCGCGACGTCCATCCACACGAGTTAGAGTGGTGAAATGGCATGTGTTCGAAGATCACATATTTCTCGACCACCAAAACCCTGATGACCACAATATTGTGCCACTTTATTTTCATAGTGAATTATTTTGCAACGATTATAACTCTGTTATCTTCCTCTCTTGGCCAAGGAAATATTTTCCAATAATCTCTATGTTTACATGTGAAATGAGACTCATTGAAAGATCAAAACTATTGTTGCTTACTGGGATGACACGCATGAACATCTGAATAGAACCTTTTACTTTTTGACATAGGAACGAAACCACCGGTGGAAGCTCTTAACTCTGCTTCATAGTCGTCTGTGGTCGGCACATAGGCATCCTCTGAGGGCAGCTGCGTCCAAAACTCTCCCTCTGCCCGGAGGTAAGGATGGATGTATGCTAACGGTGCTAATACAGATGCACCAAGTTTGCGAGAACGTTCTGGGGACCATCCACGCTCTGGGTCACTATTCGAGAGACAATCTTTGAAAGGCATTTCCAGGGTCATGGAGAGGCAGTCAAAGCGGTCAGCAATTTGATTCGTGGCCACGTTCATATACTCCAACGCCGCTTCAGTTGTCTCGGGAGCCGGATAGCCAATTCTTTGTTGCATATCCGAGTTGGCCCGTTGATAAGCCGCTACAAATGCACCGTGAAGAGATTCCATCCTTACCCCCCACTTGGGAGTTTTTTCAGCACCAGAAATGAAATTAAAGGGAAGTTCCTCGTCGCCATGAACATCCAGAAAAATATCGACACCTGTTTCATCCATTTTCTTCAATACTGAGAATACCTCGGGACTTCGTTCCAACGATGGAGCTTCGTAGAAGCGCTTTGTTGCCCATTCCCTATTCAAATTGGCGCCGCAGGCGTTGGTACGCAGATGTCCGCGGACAGCACCATCGGGACACATCAGAGGGACTATGTAGAATGTATACATCTCTAGCAACTTTGGAACCTCACCGTCAACTTTCCCGTTTGAATCCAAGCCCAAAAGACGATTTAACAAACCCTCGGCATAGTATTCTATTTCAGTCGGTTCAGAATGAATGAAAGCAAAGCAAATTTAGAAGCCGCGGTGCGATGATAAAAGAGTACCTGTGAATATATGTCAATTTTATGTAGCGAAATAACTCCGCTACTTCTCACCTGCCATCGTTTCTCCTGGATGCTGGCGGTGGATAATCCAGCATACCGTTTTTCCTTGGCCCAGTGTGATGCAATCAATATCTCTACCGTCCAGTGATTGCCCAAGACTAATTGTATCGGCGAATTGGCTGCAACGAGACACCAGTCCCAAATGGCGCGAATAGGAGTATGGGGGGAAATACGAAAAGTAAAGGCTTCCGTTCTGTGTGTGTTCGTGCTCCCAGCAGAGCGCCCCGTTGGAATACACAGTATCTTGGTTTCTTCGCCATGAATCGGGATCTTCGATGTTGGTGGTATAACAAACCGTAGAACCTAAATCAAACAGAGGAGAACAGTGTTATGTTTGGATATGTTGGCAACAAAATTGAGGCAAAATGATATAGTAAAGAAAATGTCATTTTCCTGGGGGTATTATTGTGACTCAACAGCAGGAAAAAGGACTTACCAACCCAAGCTTCAGGGTATGACGACGCTTCCGCGTTTACGACAACATATCTAATCTTGTGCGTTTGATTCGATGGGGGAAACCCAAGTCCACCTATAGTTGCTCGAAATGAAAAATACTGCATGTGACCAATCTTTTCAAGTACCGTGTAAACATCGGGCTTGATATGAAGGAGAACATCGGTTGTATTCACAGGGTCATTCTCGTTCGGTCTTGTGCTTATGAACTTGATGTTACCGCCGTCGAAAGCTTCGCTGATGCTGACATTTACCATTTTCTGATTTGTTTGCGTTATTGTGCGTTTTTCTTTCTTGAAGATTTGATTTGAAGTGCTTGGATTCCTATTCTCTGCCAGGCAAGGGTACGAGATGAGCGGAATGTGTACTAGTTCCAGTAGTATTTTTTAATTTTGTGTCTTGTTTCTCGTCCGATTGAGAAGAGAGATGGTTGTTGGTTTTTGAAGACATATACCTTACGTGAAACAGATGATCGAAGAATCATTGCCGTTACAAAGTGGGACACTGTTGATTTGCAATTTTGGGGGAAAATCTGGATTCTCGGGGGCCCTACCCATCCCGACTCCCTACGGTGGTACTACGGTATCGGTGTAGCGAATCCCGCGGGGACTGGACTGACACCAGCGCGCGCGAAACGYGCGCTGGCAAAGAAATGAATGGCTAGGAGACAAGTAGGACAGCTGCAACAAGAGGTGCGCCCCAGAGCTGAGCAGCTCACTCAGCTCACTATTGCTAGCTTGCAAACGAGCAAACAGTAACACTAGTAGTAGTAGTAATAAGAGCGCTCTTCGGAAGGGACAGGGGCTGCTCCCCGACCGCAGTACACTAGTAGGTCACTGGGACCCTCCGCGCCCCAGTCCCAGTAAATATGGTCGTCAGTACGGCCTCCCCACGCCCMGTAAGATACGCTGAGTTGTTCGAGGATCCATCTGCGAACCCTTTTGGGACCGATAGCAGCCTACGAAGAACAGCTTACGGAGGAATCTACGAGCGCTACCGTAGTGCACCAGGGGCCCTATCAGCTGACCTGCTTATGGAAGCCACCCTGAACTTATTCGAGGCTCAACCCGTGGGGGGGATTGGCATCTTTGTATCCGATCCTACCTCAACTCCCTGCTTGCGGATCATACACGGGATCCGGAAGTTTCCGGGGAGCTTACTATGTGTTTCTCAGAACGCGAATAAGGCCTTTGGTTACTTAGACGATGTGGTGTTATGACAGGGGGAACTCGCTCAAATAACACCCAGCATGTTTGACCTCACCTCTGACGTTCGCGTCTGCACCGTAGGACACCACATGGCCACACTAGAGGCGGATCCTGGCCTCAACTTTATTGCACCACGCCCCGAAGGCGCTCCGGAGACCGAAGTTATCCGCTGCAGACAGACGCTTTTCATCCCCTTCGAACTAATGCCCCTGGTGCTAGGAAAGAGGCTAACACCACGGGAAGCTTTCCTTATCATTCACCCCTGGCTCGTTAGCCAGGGACTGCACACGATCGCAAAACCCTTAGTGGACACCTTGAGGGTAGCAGGGACACACGTGCGGTCCGCGATTAACACTGTGGTTTGCCCTATAGCTCACACGGAGCCGGGGCCCATGTTCCGGACGGAGCCAGACCTAACAGTTTACATGCAGCAAAAGGTATTGCACCGCGACCTTCTTGGCCTAGTGGAAGTACCCTCCAGGGCTGGGCCTGAGACCCAAGCACTCACAGCTGCGGTAGCTACACTCACTGACCAGCAGCTAAAGGCAAACGAAGCCAATGAAAGGCGCCGAGCCGAGGAAGCTAAGCCCGCTACGTTGGAGGAGACCGTCGGGGAGCTCAACGCCTGTAGGCTCCGTAGGCTTTGCCACGTGGAGAAGGAGGAAACACTCCCCCCGATATACCACGCATGGGCTAAGAAGAAGAAGGCTGAGAGGATACATGCACTGTTTCAAAGTCATGTTGACCAAGCTGCACAGGAGCTAGGCTCCCCTCCCCCCTTTATCACCACAGCCGCCTTGAAGACCTTCCAAGCCTTCCGGTTCTACGGAGTAGATGACTGCGATTTGGGTGATGGTATCCTCCCTATGGCCTTTGCTCCCCCAGGAGGCTCCCCCACGGCAAGGAAGAGCTAAATGGAGGGGCTCGAGCAGCCTTAGCTTACGATACACTCACAGCCACTGAAGGAAACTCGCTTAGTCTTCGGGACGCCCAATTACTGGGGAAGGCCAAGGGTTACATCCCTATCGAGTGGGTAGAAGCCCTCCTTCAGTTGGAGGGGTATCTCCCAGTACTCGCAACCTTGGTGGGAGTGGAGCATCCTATAGTTCGTAACTACTTGGACGGACTCGATCGACTGAAAAGGATGCAGTTAAGCTTACGATACGCCCTCGTAGACGAGTGCGGGGACAGCTTAGCCCCAGCCATAATCGTATACTACTTCCAGCTGCGAGTACGGTGCTGGATGGAAGAGCAATGGGCAAGCAGCCGCCAAGTAGAACCTCCTAGCTTTACACAGGAGCTGCGAACCTTCCGTATGTCAAAGAATCTCAGCTGGCTCCCCGGGGTAGCAGATGTCCCTGCACTGCGGAAGCTGAGGAAGACTGAGGAAGCGGCTGCAGTGAAGTCCCCGTCGGTGAACGAGCCAACAGGGGGCAAATCTAAGCAGGCCAGCAAGCGAGGAGGCTCACAGCCGTCCACACAAACACGGGTAGAGAATCCAGCACAGGACGACCGCTTCCGGACTGCACCAGAGGAGCTCAGCTCTCGAATAAAAACTTGGAAGATCGCCAAAGCAATGGGGGTGATGAAAGACAAGGGGAAGGGACCCTGCCTCCGCGGAGATGGGAAAGAAATGTGCCACTCATGGCACGCCAAGGGCTTCTGCTACAGCAGCTGTAAACTCAGCTACGATCACACTGAGCCCGCGGAAGAGGATAGGAACCGGTTCTGGGACTGGTGCCAAGAGGCCTACGGCCAATGAAAAGGGGGCAGGCAGCCCATTTTTCCCACTGCTGCTGTGCCACTGCCCCCATCCAAACATCGAAGGTTGGTGTCAGATACAGTAGTCCTGAGCAGTTCAAACGCCTCTGGATGGACAGGGATACAACCCTTGTCCCCGGAGCTAGGTAAGACTAATACGAAAGCGTCCAAACCTGTATGCAATTGCCTGGAGGAGAGACCGACGGGGGGGGAGCACGTTCCCGAGAACACCCAAATAATACCACCGGAGAGCCGTGATTCGCCGGAGGGCTGCGAGCCTGCTCGCAAAGAGGAGACCGTCCTACGGGACGGTCCGTGTACCACTCAGAGTAGTGGCAGCTTGCTCGCAGCAAGACCCGGTGGGCCCGAGTGCCAGCCAACCATTAGGAGGACCCCCGGAAAGGAGGGGGACAAGGCCTATCGGCCTCGAAAACACACTGTGCGGGGCCCGATTTACCCCCAAGACCGCTTGGATCGCCAGGTAGCCAAGGCTGTAGAGACTTACGCACAATCTAAGTCCTGGGGGGACTTCGTAAGAGCCGTACGGGGAAGAGGGGATCTGCACCCGGAGGTAGGAAGCCTACCACACCCAGCGGCGCAGCTACTCCTGCAGTTCCAGCAAGAAGGAACACCAGCCGTTATGTCCACACCCCCGTGGGGAGCAGGTAGACTAGCCGCAGCGCTGGCAAGAGGGCCACACAAGTCCTCCCATAACGGGATTGAGTTCCTACGAGAGGAGTACGCTGATATGATAGATAAGCAGCAATGGACAGTCTTACCGGCCGACCTGATCATAGGACTGCCTGAGCTGAGGCTCAGTCCCCTGGGCTTGGTCCCCCAACAAGGTCGCCGAGACCGGATGATCTCCGATTACAGCTATTTTGGGGTGAATGCTGAAACTCAACAAATAGCTCCGCAAGAGGCCATGCAGTTTGGGCGGACACTGAAGAGGCTGCTGCAAAGGATCCACCGAGCCAACGAGCGATACGGGCCTGTTTATCTGTCCAAGATTGATCTCTCTGACGGGTTCTACCGGCTATGGTTAAAGCCAGAGGATACCATCAAGCTGGCGGTCCTCTTCCCTGCCAGGGAGGGGGAAGCTCCTCTCATCGGAATTCCCTTAACGAATCCCATGGGCTGGTGTTCTTCTCCACCAAACTTTAGCGCCTGCACGGAGACCATAGCAGATCTCGCTAACGAGTCACTCACGACACCAGGCGGGGTCCAAGGGATGCGGCAAAGGCCCCATCGGCTCGATGTGGTCTCGGAATCCGTGGGCGAGACAGAACTAGTCTCAATCCCTCTCGATCCCCGGATCAACTCACTTCGCAGCCCCTCGGCCCCGTTCAAGACTCCCCTTCGCTACTGGGACGTGTATGTGGATGATTTCTGTGGGCTAGTCCAAGGAAACCAGTGGACAAGGAGAGCCGTGAAGCGAGCCCTTCTACACTCACTAGACCGAGTGTTTAGGCCCTTAGACGACCAAGACACCCCTTACAGGCAAGAACCCGCTTCACTTAAGAAGCTGAGGAAAGGCGATGCAATCTGGTCCACATCCAAAATCATCTTAGGATGGCTGATCAACACAGTAGACCGAACCATACGGTTACCCCCACATCGTTTGGACAGGCTGCAGGAGGTCTTAGCATCAGTGTCCCCAGGGCAACGATACGCCTCGACCAAAGACTGGCATAAACTGCTAGGCGAGCTGAGGTCCATGTCTATTGCCATTCCCGGATCAGCGGGTCTGTTCTCCCTCCTACAGGAGGCGCTCCGGCACCAGGAAAGGGGTCGGAACCGACTCAGGCTCACGGCAGCATTGCACGGATTCCTAGAGGACTTTCGCTGGTTGGCCAGGGATGTGGCTAGCAGACCCACACGGATCGCAGAATTGGTCCCCGATACTTGGCCTGCTACCGTGGGAGCCTGCGATGCTGCAGGGGCCGGAATGGGCGGCATTCACTTCATTCCCTTAGCGGATGGGACGATTCAGCCCCTCCTGTGGCGGCAGGCCTTCCCCTCCTGGGTCCAGAGAGACCTTGTCTCCTTCAAAAATCCAGGGGGGACTATCACCAACAGCGATTTAGAGCTGGTAGGATCCATCGCTCATAATGATATCCTAGCTCAATCCGTAGACGTTACGGAGCGGACAGTCCTCAACCTCTATGATAACACGGCCACGGTCCACTGGCAGAGGAAAGGATCCACCACTACCACAGGGCCAGCGGCCTACCTCCTGCGAGTGCAGGCACTGCACCAGCGGTACTACCGGTATATACCTCTTCGTGACT